ACAAAGGTATCTCTTTAACTGAAAACTGCTTTCTGAAGACAAGCAGCAAGGGACTCACTAGCATGGGGTGATTCTTGCCTCTTCAAAGCAGACTACCACTGAAAACATTACAGATGCATGAGTACTCACTACCACACATTGAAAACCAGCCAGAGAGACAGGCCAGGCCTGGCTTTGAACTTGAGGCTAGCACACACCAGTTTGTGACCTAAGGGGTAAACGGACACAAGTGATTTGGGAGGGGTGGGAGGTCTCAAAAACCAGGTGTTACATAGAGTTAAGGGTGGGAAATCTTGAGGTACAGGTTATTTCTGCAGAGGTGTGAGGTTAACTCTTGCCTGTGCTGGAGGAGGCTGGTACACACAGAAAGCAAAATGATGTCAGGCAGGCAGGTGTAGTATCCACTTTAGGCCCTGTGGCCCAGGTACTTACTCTGCTACCAGAACAAAGTGGCCAAGCATCCTTGGTGCCCCTGGTGGAGGGTTGAATATTTCTTCCCCTGGCTCTTTCCTACCCTGACTTTATATAATGCCTTTACTAGGAGGTAGACCCTTCTTCTCAGCAAAGGGTTGGGGAGCCACTTAAGCACCCATGTCTGGGTTGTTGAGGGTTCAGGTGAATGACAACTGTTGTCAACAGGGAGAAGCTACCTTGTGCCAGTCTCAGGTTGGGGGACTGGAGACAGATGGGGTAGCCACAGGCCATACATCTTTGGAAGAGCTACTTGCTCCTATAATTAACATGAAAAGTTGCACTAAGGGCCTTTTCTTGCTCTTTGCAAAACAGTATGGAGATGCAGTAGGAAGCGAAGCAAGGCTACCTCCAGGTATCTTTAATCTTGACCAACTGGCAAATGCTAACCTACCAGGCAGAAGACCATCCAGAAATCCAGAGGCTGACCTTGCAGTGATATTCACAGCCTGGGCTGGGGTGTGACTGTTCCCATTCTGCAGATCATCCCCACAGCCACAAGGTGAGTTGGCCTGTGAAGAGCTCTGCTCCCTCACCCCAGGAACAGCAGAGAGCCAGCAGGCTGCAGGTGGCAGCACCCTCTTCCTGGCACAAGGCCTTCTGTACATGCAGTGCAGGTCTTGGGCTCTTGACTGTGGAAGATAGACAGCAGCAGAACCAACACTGAGAGCTTAGGTATGCTGGACAGAATTCTGTTCTCAATTTGAAGACAAAGTTGCCAATTTTGAATCTTAAGAAATAAACCCAAAAGCTAGGCAATGGTGGCACATGCCTTTAATCCCAGCACTCAGGAGGCAGAGGCAGATGGATGTCTTTGAATTTGAGGCAAGCCTGGTCTACAGAATGACTTCCAGGGCAGCCAGAGCTACATAGTAAAACCAGACCTTAAGAAAACAAACCAAACTAAACCAATAATGGCTGGTTGGTGATGGCACACCCCTTTAGCCCCACCACTTAGGAGGCAGAGACAGACCAATCAGTCTCTGAGTTTGAGGCCAGTTTGGTCTGCAGTTCCAGGATAGCCAGGGCTACACAGAGAAACCCTGTCTTGAAAACAAACAAAAAACCCTATAAAACCAAAACCAAATAAAGCAAAGCATTTTAACACCCTGAGTTAATCGGTCAATCTGAAAAGAATATTCATTTTTTTTCTCACCTGAGACAGTGACTGTTAAGAAAGACTGGGAAGAGGCACCTAGGGTTTTCAGACCACATCCAGGAAATGTTCCTGAGCAGGAGGTTCTTTCAGACATCTAACTCTCCAGACCTTTGGGCAGGTAGTAGAGATCAACCTCAGCTGGCCAAAGCCAGCCCCCATTCTGCAGAATACCTAGCTTTGTACCAGGGTACCAGTGAGCAAGGTTACTGGGTCTCTAACCAAACAGGATAGCTTATCAAGAAGTTAGGCTCTGCACTAACTCCATGCTTTCTACTCACAAAAGCAGGCCATCCAGTTCCTGGCTGAGCTGACTGCCAGCTGGCCTGCTAGAGGAGCAGATTTGAGGTGGGGTGAGGGTCTGTTCCCCAAGCATAGTGTTCTGGCCAGTGAGTTCTCTGCACAGCAGCTAACGCCTCCTGGACATATTTCCACACAAAATGCTTGACTGTGCTCACTCCTGTACTCTCAGGGCCAATCACTGAAGACTTTCTTTTTTCTTTTTTTTTGGTAAGGTTATTTCTGGTCCCAGGAATGAGATGAGCAATTCCAGTGTTTCATTCATTTGAGAAGCTAACTTTCAAATCCACAGGTCCTGCCTACTGAGAGTAAGTAGGGTCAGTGATGGATTCTCTGGAACAGGGCAGAACACAAAAAGGAAAAGTCTGAGATCTAAGTGGATCCTGAGACAGACACAGATTATGTACTGATAAGAGCCTGCATTCTAAGGGCTTGGAAGCCTGGTAAACAGTGAGGGTGGATGGGTGCAAGGTAGTTTTATGTCAACTTGACATAGTCATAGTCATCTGAGAGCAGGAAATCTCCACTGGAAAAATGCTTCTCTAAGATCTAGCCATAGACAAGCCTGTAAGGCATTTTCTTAACTAGTGATTGATAGGGGAATACCCAGTCCTTGTGGGTGTTGTTATCCCTGCGCTGCTGGTCTTGAGTTCTGTAAGAAAGCAGGCTGAGCAAGCCAGGAGAAGTGAACATTCCTCCACGGCCTCATTAGCTCTTGCCTCTAGATTCCTGCCCTTGACTTCTGCTTGAGTTCTTGCCCCAACTTCCTTCAACGGTGGATTATGAATAGAAGTATAAACCAGATAAACAAATCCTTTCCTCCCTAAGTTACTTGTCATGGTGTTTAATCAAGCCAATAGTAACCCCAAAAAGAGGGATCTCCAGCAGTGTGCTTCAGCATTTTGAACGGGTCTTTATGGTAACAATAAAAAAATTAATAGCTTATAGGATTTCTAAAAGTAGTGACAGGTCAAATGAGAAACAACCCCGAGAATTTAGTTTTGGTGTTGACTATGTATAGGGGACTCAGAACTCATGACTAGAAGTCAAGGGTAATGACTACTCAGAGAAGTAACTTAATAGTGAATGTCACAGACAGACCCAGAACTGCTTAAATACAGATTTATTGCAAACCAACACCGAGGAGCCAGAGCGACTTTGCAGGCTGGACACCCCACTCTTTGGGTCTTTGGACAAAGGGGACAGAGTCACCCTGCTTTCCTCAGACCTCAGATGGTGGGACTTAGAGACCAAACTGTGGCTGTTGTGTCTAAAAAGAAAAAAACAGGCAATGTGCCAGCTTCAGTGGCTGGGCGAACCAGGGTAGTGCCTCAGGGCAAAGAACTATCTACTTGGCTGGCTGGGATTGAGCCCCACTGTGATGGAGACATGGAGATACAGTAGCCACCACCACATCATGCACTACACCATGCCAAAGGGATCACACAGAGCACAGGTTCCTGCCACACGGCCTACACCCGACACTATATCCCCCGGGCTGCTTTTTCTACACAGGCTTGTTTGTTGAAACAGGGCAGGGATAAAGAAAAAAATGCAACACAGAAAATAAAACCATGCTACAATGATGACGATGAGTGGCCACAGAGTAAAGCACGGTCCTAAATAAAAAGATACAGGCTCCTCCCTGCGATTATTCCTTCTGGAAGACTGCCCACAGGATGAGGGTTGAGAGGAAGGTAACTAGGACTAGAGAGAAGACTGCAGATATATACACACCACAAGACTTCCTTCATTAGGTGAGACAGCTTTGCATGGGACAGGGATGTGCATAGTGCATAGCCTAGGACCTTGATGGAAACTTCAGGAACAAATAGCAAAGTGTTCTGGGTATCTTGTGAATGTGACAGATTCTGCTCCTGGATGGTGACCTCCTAAGAGAGATTTCATCAACTTGGTGATCAATGTCCAATCACAAGTTTAGACTCCAGAGTGGGTATTTGGGGTCCACTGCTGTCCCTTGACCATCACTGTGGTCAACCTGGGCCCACAGATTAACTCCCAGTATGGACTTTTAAGATGTAAACCAGAAATCCCTTAAATAACTGTAATGAACCAGCTCCTGTCGATAGAGTTGAATAAGTTCTACAATCTGCTCTTCCAATGGCTTCTTCCAAGCATGTGGGCATGGCACTCGGTGCAGGGCTACTTCCAGAGAGCAGGCTGCCTTGGCTTCAATGGGTTTTAATTCTTGCAGTTTGTATGGTTGGTTACTAGAGTACAGAAATCACTGCTATGACGTGTACACACACACACACACACACACACACACACACACACACGACTGAAAACCAGGCAAATGGAGATGCCAGGCACCAACAGGCACAGAGAGAGTCCTTAAAGGGTTGAAACACCTGGGTTCTGGTTCCTTGGTCAGGTCTTCACACCCTGGCTGGCCTGGCAATACAGGCTCTGAGCTCCAGGAAGCAGTCTATGGATTGGCATAGGGAAATCTTCATTTCCTCTGACTCAGTTGTAGTTGCCCTCAAGCTAGTGGGTATATTTTTCTTCCTGAGGCATCCTTCGTGGTCAGAGCTCCTTAGGGACCATAGTTGACAGGATCTGCCAATGAACTACCAAAATGCTGTGATCTCTTCTTGAAGGTACTTCAATGCAGCATACCCAAGGAGGTCTTGTGGGGAGCAAGTAGTGGTGGCTAATCTCAGTTCACTTCAACAAGAATCGAAGCAAGGCAGCTGCAGTCAGAGGGCAGACAGGATCCTTGCCACACCAGGGCCAGAGACCAGAACCTCAGACTTTCTCCCAACATCTCAAACAGACCCCAGTTTCTGATGTTCTACCCACAAAACAGAGGCAGGTCAAGTGTATTCACAAAGAAATGAGCAAGATGGAAAACACACACACACACACGGAGAGAGAGAAAGAGAGGAGGATGGGGGAGAGAAAAAGGGAAGGGGAGGGGGGAGGAGACAGATACAGACATAGACACAGACACACACAGAAAGAGAGGGGGACAGGAAGGGGGAAAAGGAAAGAGGGAAGGGGGAGACAGGGAGACAGACAGACAGACAGACAGA